CTTCATTGCATTTAATTTACTCTTCATTTCAATCAACGAAACACTTATTAATTTTGAACACATTTTATAAATCACACATAAATTCAATACAAAATATTATTACAAATCACACTAAATATTAAGTGAGACTCTCTTTTAAATCACATGTGATTCTCAACTCAATATACAAGACGTGCTCTCATTGTTCATTGAAAAGTTGTTTAACCACCTTTATAACATTGATCATGTGCATCAAACAAGTCCAGCCATTTTATATAGTGAACATTTCATATTACCGTAAATATTTTAAAATGTATATAATTTTCAAAATTTATTATTCTTATTAAATAAATTAAAATTATTATTAATTGACTACAATTATGCAATTTTCACTATAAATAATGTACATAAACTCATTTTCTTATTTTTATTAAATTGTTTAAATTATGTAAAAATTTCATTACTAGATCTTTATTTTACTCATGCGTACCTTTCCATTGACATATTATAATATATAAATACTTACATTTTAACAATTATTAGTAAAACTAATAAAATTAATTCACATAAAAAATATTTAAAAATAAAAATTGACATTTATGATTTAAAAACACTTTCATCTCAGATTATGTAATATAATTTAATATATATTTATATAAAACGGGAATTCACCAAAATCTACAATGTAACTTTAATTTGCGTACATTTTATGTAAACTATTGGAAATTAAATAACTATTGATTGATTTATAACATATAAAATATTATGTAACTTTCCACAATATATAACAAAGTACCGTCATATAGATATTAAACTAAGCAAAGTATATATGGGGGGAAATCTATAACAAAATCTATAACACTAGTTAGTGCTGTGATGATTCACAGCTAAACTAAAAATGATTCACATATACAACAAATTAATTATGTGTTCATCACTTAAGATTCATTAAGAATATCAATAATTTCAGACTAAAAACATCTCAATCCCTATCTTATACCTACAATGTCTATATTTTGAACCAATTTTCTAAATATTTTCTTAGGTGTTAAAACTAAAAATATTTAATGAATAGCATTGGGCTTGCTTAGGGACTAAACAAATTGAGTGTA